CCCGGGGCGCAAGTGTCCCCGCCCCTGGCGCCCGGCGGGTGAACGGCCACGCCCCCTGGTGCCCAACAACCTCGAAAGGTTGGGGACCACTGGTCTAGGGGACCCACAGGTTTTTAAGCAGGCTTCCTGCTTGTAATGTACTTAAAACATTTTGTTATGTCTTTTTTAGTTTTTGGCTAGCTGTTCCTCAATCTTTTTTTGCTTTTTTTATTACATTTTTTACACTTGATTTGACAGTGTTTATGTTCCTTTCTATTTATCTCACTAGGATTGGACTTCCACTTCTTGAAAGATACCTTTTTGTCCCTCACTGCTTCTTTTACACAGTGGTTAAGCCACGGTGACTCTCTTTTAGGTCTCTTGCTATGTTTTTTAATTTGGGGTATACATTTAAGTTGGGCCTCTATTATGGTGTCTTTAAAAAGTTTCCATGCAGCTTGCAGGGATTTGGCTCTAGTCACTGTGCCTTTTAATTTCTGTTTAACTAACCTCCTCATTTTTGTGTAATTCCCTTTTTGAAATTAAATGCCAGAGTTCTGGTCTGCTGAGGTGTTCTTTCCACCACAGGAATGTTAAATGTTGTTATATTATAGTCACTATTCCCAAGCGGTCCTGTAACAGTTATCTCCTGGACCTGATCCTGTGCTCCACTCAGGACTAAATCGAGAATTGCTTCTTCCCTTGCGGGTTCCTGTACCAGCTGCTCCAAGAAGCAGACATTTAAACCATTGAGAAATTTTATCTCCGCTTTTCTTCTTGCGGTGACTAAACAACTAAAACAAGTGCACCTCTCAGCTGATACATAAGACCACGGTCTTGAGTTTTAGCCTCCATTATCAACCCCAAAGGGCTTTTGTCAAGAGTGAGCATGTTCAGCTTGAGGTCTGGGCACTACTGCGAGTACAGCAGAATAATAGCAGTCACCTGAGATTGGAGGTGTATTGTGCTAGATTGTGCACATTAACTTATGCCTGAAATGCTGCATTTCTACACTGCAACTAGCTCAAAGGAAGTGGTTTTCAACAAATGATCACATGCTAAGGAAAAACTTTACGGAAGTTAAAACTTACATTTGTTGAAGAGAGAGACTCCCTTGACACACTACACTTAATGGTTAAAAGTAATTGTTTTAAAATTTATCTCATTTATACTTAGCCCTTTATATTTCAGTGGAAAGGGGCCTTAAGGCAGATATAATTTTCTCCCACATTAAGGACCTTTTACACAGCTAGTATAAGTGAGAATCAGGTTCGTGGACACCATAACGTGATTAGAGGCACCCTGGTTTTAGAGTCCCAGAGTGCTGTGGAAGATGGCGGCAGCTGTTGCAATGTATGTATGCCTGGTGGTGTTCAGTGGCTTAACAGGTAAGGCAAACATTTTGTGATGTCTCTAGAAAAAGGCGCTTTCTTCATGTCCCTCTTCCAGCTGTTCTGCCACTTCTCTTGGCTTTAAGGCTGATCCTTCCTAATGTATGTGCCCTTGTGCAATTCTATCTCCCCCAAACTGTCTCCATCCTGTCTGGATCTGGGTTGCAGATTTAGGCTCCCTATGTGCTTGCTAGTGATGTGATTCTTTCTCAATCTCACTTGCCTTGTGCTAGATATGTTTTAGCTTGGAGGACTGGAGGAGGAGAAAGGCTATCTTGCTGGATCCCTTTAGCTACGTTCTGTAGAAGTGGCTAAAATGGTGACAATCAGAGGAGAGGACTTTTCGAAAAATTCCCATCAACATTTCTTTTCAAAATTTGAAACTCTTATCAAGTGGTTTTGCTGGCACTTCTTTGCTAAGTGGATCCCAGCTGCCTTGGTGCTTTCAAGTTAGTTTTCAGGTTCATCACAAGACTTGGCTTAGAAATTTATTTTTTGTTTTTTAAATGAAAGCCCATTTCCTCCATCACAGAGAGCAAAGCTGAGGGGCTCACACAAGGCTGGCACCTTAGACGTTTCCCTACCTGCCTCATTTTGTGCAGACAGAGCCGTGCCCAGGCATCAAAGGGCAGAAACTAAACCCAGCCCGGAGACTGGAAAGTTCCAGAGAATGATTCTAGAGTATTTGAGTCTCCAAGGATGTAGAAGCTCATCATTTCTGATCATTGCCAACATTTGTTCCTGCACAAACTGAAATTACACCCCACATTTCTGGTCAGAAACAGTTTTTTTTTCCTCCCACACATGGCATTATAGAAGTGATTGGGGGAATCAGACAGGGGTTATGTTCTACTAACTCCAAAGTAGGGATTCCATTGTCAACTCTAGTGAGTTTGTTGAAATTCTTGGTGTTTTTCTAAAAATCTGCAACTGCTGGAATCCTGTGATTGTGAGACTTATTTTTTTTTAAATGAAAGCTAAATTTCTAAGCCCTGGTGACTGTAGAAAAAATCTTGAAAAGATGATCCATACATGTTTAAACATCAGCAAGAACATTAACTCCCTCCCGCCAAATTAATATTTTTAAAAAGACAATCTCATGTGTAAGTGACCTCATCTATGGCATAGGGCTGGCAATATGGTGTGTGTGTGGCAGATGCAAGTTCAGTTTGATTAATCTAAAGTCCCAACTTTTAAGAGGCATTTCGGTGTCTTCAATGCTCATTTAATGGGTGGTGTATTTATTAATCCCCCAATTCATGTCTATGGAAGTCACTCAATGTTTGTGCTTTTACTCCCTTTGTAATGGTCACAGAAGTGCCTTTTATGGTAGCTCTTGTGTATGGGAGATGATGACATAGCTTAGTAGGTGGAATGCCACAGAGCAAAAACCGGTCTGACTCTAATCATGTGGCACCTTCCGACACAGCAGCAATGGTGACAAATATAGTGAATCAAGAGACCGTAAAGTGGTAAAAGGAGCTGAATTTTCCCCAAAGTCAGCAGTGGTCCCATCTAGGGTTTTTGTTTGTTCCAGGCAAGAAGCAGAAATAAAAACAATTCCCTCCCCCAGCTCTTCTCACTCATGGATCTAAGAGAGCTTTTTAAAGAAAGTTGTACCATTGTCCCCATTTCACAGAGGGAGAAACTGAGGTGAAGAGAAGTATCTTAACCTAGCAGGACAGCCAGGAATAGAAACCATATCTCCTGAATCCCAGTCCAATGCTCTAGCCACTGGGCAATATTTCCTCCAGTGAATAGAGCGCACACTGCTAGATTAGGTCAATTCAAAAGGTCCAATTTATAAATACGAATCTGTTTAACAGGCTTGATTGGAGGAGGTCCATCCCCACCCACTTTGCTGCTTGTGGGATAACAATCTACTGCTGCTACCAGCTAATGGAGGTAGTTACTCCTTTAGCTCACATGTGAGACATTGGTTCTGACTGCTGACCCTGGAGCTGAGCCTTATTGGATTCACCCCTTGTGTCACTCATGAAAATACTTTTCATTATCAAAGAACCCCAACTCCCTCAAGAGATGAAATGGCCTCTGAAAACAGAAAATGATGGGACAGGAAGTGGCTCAGCGTAATGCAGCCTCTCCCACTAATTCTGGGCAATTTATAGAGTGGGTGGGTGGAGCAGGAAGTGTAAAGACTGTGTTTGTCACTAATCACTAACTGTAGTGGAGAATGTTCCTTTTCTTTTCTAACAAGGGTCAAAATGTTCTCCCATCCACCATGACTTAAGAGCATCTCAGTGCTTTGTCCCTCTTGAACACTGAGAATGAAACTGTCGTGTCTTTGAACTATGATGAGACAGCTAAAGTGAGAAAAATTTGAGTGCAGTGAGAATAGAATAAATGTGTTCAATTTATGTAGATAAATGTTTGATGGCTTCATACTTGCTTTGCAATATATAATTCATAGATGCCCTTCCTTCCCACTAGCTTTAGGCCCCTCATAACTTTAATATGGCTGTGGGCTTAAGGCACCATGCCAACCCAAGAGATGCAGATAAAGGTCAACCTAACGTGAAACAAATATATAGTATCATGAGCTTTTGTGGGCAAAACCCACTTCTTCAGATGAGTGGAGAAAAAAGGAAACACTTGCCAATTTAAAGCAGAAAAAGAAGTAAGAGGCTAATTGAGTAATTGTTAATGAGGCTAATTGAGTGGGCTCTAAGTGTCCCATCCTTAGCTTTTGATGTCATTTGAGTGTTGAATATAAAGGCCCATCCAGTTCATGTTTTTGTTCAGTCCTTGAGAGAGAGTCAGATTTGCATATGAAGGCCAGTTTCGCAGACTTTCTCCATAGTTGGCTGATTGAATTTCTTTGTAGATGAATGGCTACTTTAAAATCCATTAATGAGTTCCCAGATAGGTTAAAATGTGCTGCTACAGGTTTCTCTGTGTGTTACCATTTCTGATATCCAACTTGTGTCCATTTATCCTTTGTTGCAGAGACTAGCCAATATACGTGGCAGAGGGGTATTTCTGGCACTTGCTGGCACAGATCACATTAGCAGATGGGCAGTTCTGTGAGCCCTCGATGTGGCGGCTGATGTGGTTAGGTCCTGGGTTGGTGCCGCTTGTATCGATGTGTGAACAGAGCTGACAATGGGGTTTGTTGCAGGGGTAGGTTCCGGGTGACTCTGTCTGAGGTGTGATGTGGGGCTGCTGGAAAGGATTTTTCTTGGGTTGTGTGTAGGTGAAGACTGACCTGGCTCCCAATGCCCATGGGAATGAGGGATTGTTTTCCATAATAGGTTGTAGATTTCTAATGATGCACTGGAGGGGATTGAGCCGGGGGCTGTAGGTGATGACCAGTGGGGCTCTGTCCTTCTCCTTGCTGGGCATGTGCTGTAGTAGGTGACTCCTGGGTACTCGTCTGGCTCTGTCCATCTGTTGCCCCACTTCCCCAGGTGGGGATTTAAGTTTTAAGAATACTAGATAGAGATAACAGAACCATAGATCTGGAAGAGACCTCAGAAAGTCATCAAGACCAGCCCCCTGCTCTAGGCAGGACCATGCCCCATTAAATCAACTCAGCCAGGGCTTTATCAAGCCGAGACTTAAACACCTCTAGGGATAGAGACTCCACTACTTCCCTAGGTAACCCATTCCAGTGCTTTACCACCCTCCTAGTGAAATAGTTTTTCCTAATATCCAACCTGGACCTCTCCCACCACAACTTGAGACCATTGCTCCTTGTTCTGCCATCTGACATTACGGCGAACAGCCTCTCTCCAGCCTCTTTGGTACCTCCCTTCAGGAAGTTGAAGGCTACTATCAAATCTCCTCTCACTCTTCTGCAGACTAAATAGATCCAACTCCTTCAGCCTCTTCTCGTAGGTCATATACTCCAGCCCCCTAATCATTTTGGCTGCCCTCCGCTGGACACTCTCCAAAGCATCCACACACTTCCTGTAATTGGGGGCCCAGAACTGTACACAATACTCCAGGGCTGTGTCTAGACTGGCAAGTTTTTCCGCAAAATCATCTGCTTTTGCGGAAAAACTTGCCAGCTGTCTACACTGGACGCTTGAATTTCCGCAAGAACACTGATGATCTCATGTAAGATCGTCAGTGTTCTTGTGGAAATACTATGCTGCTCCCATTCGGGCAAAAGCCCTCTTGCGCAAATCATTTGTGCAAGAGGGCCAGTGTAGACAGCACAGTACTGTTTTGTGCAAAAAAGCCCCGATGGCTAAAATGGCAATCAGGGCTTTTTTGCGCAAAGCGTGTCTAGATTGGAACAGACGCTTTTCCGCAAAGAGTGCTTTTGCAGAAAAGCATCCGTGCCAATCTAGATGCTCTTTTCCAAAAATGCTTTTAATGGAAAACTTTTCCGTTAAAAGCATTTCCGGAAAATCATGCCAGTGTAGACGTAGTGGCTTCACCAGAGACGAGTAAAGAGGAATAATGACATCTCTGCATCGACTGGCAATGTTCCTCTTAACGCAACCTAGTATGCCATTAGCCTTTCTGGCTACAAGGGCACATTGTTGACTTATGTCCAGCTTCTCATCCACTGTAACCCCCAGGTCCTTCTCTACAAAACTACTACTTAGCCAGTCGGTCTTCAGCTTGTAACCATGCATGGGATTCTTCTGTCCCAAGTGCAGGACTCTACACTTGTCCTTGTTGAACCTCATCAGATTTCTTGTGGCCCAATCCTCCAATTTGTCTAAGTCACTCTGGAATCTTGTAGGTGTTTGCCTCTGTCTGTGGGACTGGAGCAGATCTGGCTGTATATCAGGGCCTGGCTGTAAACAATTGGTCATGTGATGTATCCTGGGTGGACACTAATGATACTTCCTCCTTTGCAGGTCACTTGCATTTGTGCCAGCTCACAGCTCTGTGCAGGTTGCATCCTCAGCCCCACAGTTACCTCAGGTGTTAACACTAGTGTCCCCCCATGTACTAGACAATCTCTAATCCGGTTCTCCTCACTGGTTCCAAACTGTCACTGCTCTGCCTGCTCCAGGTCCCCTTTGACACTGGCAGGCCCTTGTGCATATGATGATGTTAGGAAACCAATGACTGACAAGCTTTTTAAGTACAAATATCATAGGGCTCCAAGACTTGGTAGTCCCCAAAGCTCCATTGTGCTAGGCATTTACAAATAGAGCCTTGCAAATCACATCCACAGATGTGGACGCAGCTATCCAGAGCTTGGATTTGCTGATGTGGATAAAAATTTTGTATTTAGAACCTTGCAGATTTGAAGCTTGCAGATTTGAAGCTATCAGCTTTATATCTGCATCTTAGTTTTGTAGATACAGATGCGGCTGCAAATACAAAATTTTGTATCCACATAGGGCTCTGCTTACAAAATAACAATGCCTAGAGGGAGGGCTCTTTATGGCTGTAGATCTGTGATACTCTGCGTCCGGACAACGCACAGGTTGGAAAAGAAGGGTTAGGCCCCAAAAAGGAACCCCTGAACCGACAGATTACACAGTGTATTGTGCTATGGGAGTGCATTGAGTAAGGGCTCTTACAAAAGCCTGTACAAGTCTGAACTTGGTGGTCTGTGTGCAGACTGGGGTTAATCCAGACTCAAGTAACGTGCCATTGTAGGACAATACAGTATGCAACCAGTTGGTTCCATTGCTTAGTGTGGAGACGAAATCTTCTCTTCTCCCTTGTGGAGGGGAAGGGTAGGGGTTTGGAACCTGACTGTCAGTTCCTTAAAGAATTTCACAAAAGAATGTCAGTAGAATTATAGTCACCTTATAGGGTGGAAACTGAGGCACAAAGAGGAGCATTTGCACTGGCTCATCCATGTTCATGCAACAACTAAGAGTAGTGCTTATTCCTTTGCTTCCCACTGTAACATTGTTTTTTGTCTGCTGACAGCTTATGAGGCCTCAAAGGAGCTGAGCAGTTTGGTGAATGGGAGAGTTGGTGCCACGGTGTACCTAAACCCCACCCTGTCAATCCCAGAGACATACCAGCAAATCAACTGGTGGTTCAATGACTCCCTAAAGATCCTGATTAAAAAATTGAATCAGCCAGCGTCTTACCCCTCTGACTATTTTAATGAGAATAAGCTGCATTACCATGGGAATCGCACGCTGGAAATTCGGCAGCTGCAGAAGCAAGACAGCAGCATCTACAAGATGGATGTGGAAGACTCCCAAGGCAGGACGGAAAAGGAAAATATCCAACTGGATGTGTACGGTGAGTCGGCACCTTTAGGCAAGAGTCCGAGATGGTGAGGTTCAGGGAGCTAGAAGGGCTCTGAAAATGTTCCCTCCTTTCCCCCTCCAAATGCCCCCAAGGCAGGGGAAGGAGAAACGTAACAGCCTGGGTGGGATGAAATGGGCCAGATCCTCACCCAAATTACTGGGCCCTTCATTGACAGGGCTGTTATCTCTGGAGTCTTTGTGGCTGAGGCTTTAAAGGGCGGGGTCAGGTATCAACGTTAATATTCCTGTTTTAGCAACTCCCAAAAAGGTCCAGATTGGGACAGAAGCAAAAGCGCTACCCAGACATCATCAATGAACAGTCACACACATTAGAAGGTGGGAGAGATCAGCTAGTGAGCTCCAGGAAGCAGAGAGGACACTGGGGAGGGGAGGGAGGAACAGGGCTCCATAAAAGAAATGAGTTGCTAGCCCACAGGCCAGGGAGGAAGAACCAGTGGCTAAAGCACTGGACTGGCACCCAGGTGATTTGGTCTAGTTCAATATTTCCAAAAATGACTATGGATTTTGATGCCGCATTTTGGGGGCACACTTTAAGGGACCAGGTTTTCAGAGCGTGCAGCGCATCTGGGCTTTGAACTCACTTTATGGGACTGCGGGAAACTTGGCCACATCCTTGATAAGTGGATACCTGGTTAACTCAAATCATGCTGGACCATGGACATTGCCGGACCAGTGAATGCCAGATTAGAGCACTTCTAATTAACCCCCCAGTATAGAATCTATATGTGCAAATATGCCACATTGGAGCACCATCAGTTTGCATCATCTGAGGATCTGGCCCAGAGATAGGTCTCTGTCAGGGTTTGCTCTGTCGTTTATTTTCCTTGTTTCTCTATTTCCAGAGCCAGTCCCTGAGCCCAGTGTGGAAGTGGATTTCAGGGCCAACCAAGATGGATGGTGCAATGTCACCCTGGTGTGCAATGTGGATGCCACCCAAGTGGCCTACTCCTGGTACCAGGATGGAAAATATTATATGGGCAAAAATAGCCGCACACTGGACATTGGGTTCAAGTTACAAAGTGACACAACTTACAAATGCATCATCAGCAACCACATCAGCGAAGCAGCTGGTGTCATATACTACAGAAGCCCTTGCACGTGGAACGGTAACATTCACTTTGCATTTGCTGATCGCTCTGTGTCCGCCGGGCTGTACAAGCTCGCTGTGCGGCCAGTCTGGTTGGGTCTCTGCTGTGGTTTGGTGACTCTTGAAGGAGAGTCTCCTTCACTGGTTGCTAGTGTGCAGTCCCCCTCCTCCCCATACACACGCGGGGAGCCCCAGAGTTGTGAGTTCGGGTGAAGCTGCAGCCACCGCGGTGCTGGGTGGTGGAATGCCTGGTGTGTGATGGATCCCGGCCATGCAGCGGGATGCTGCCTGGGGCTAGGAGGGCTGTGTGGGAGTGTAACATGGGTGAGCCGCTGGCTGCTGCTGTGAGGGCCTGTTGTTTGGCTGATGGGCTGAGTCCACTGGCACAGGGGGTGGAGCCTGTGTTTTGGAGCTAGAGGTCGCAAGGACAGTCCCTGGTATCCCTTAGGTGCAGGGTGTGGTGGTTGTACTAGCACAGGGGTGGGCAATAATTTTTTATGTAGGGGGCACTCCAAGAATTTGGCAAGTGAGCAGAGGCCACACACTTCCATGATATTAATGGGGAGGATGCAGGGCCTGGGACAGAAGTTGGATCCAGAAGGGAGCCTGGGATAGGGCACTGGGGTGCAGGAGGGAGAGTGGGGTCTGAGAGGGAATTTGGGTGAAGGAGGGAACTGTGACCTGGTGCAGGGTTAGGGAGGGCTACGGGTGCAGGAGAGGATTCTGGCCTGTGAGAGAGGTGTAAGAGGGGGTGCAGGGTCTGGGAGGGAGAAAGGGGTATGGAGTGAGTG